AGGCTACCAACTTCCTCATCACTTGCAAATCAATCCTCAGTATCAGAGACTTGTTCAACTCTCTAATCAAATCTGCCACCAATTAAGTTCTCTCCAAACCACCAAGGAAAAGAATAGTAATGGAAGGTACAAGGGGAAGGCAGAAATAGGAGAGAAAATGCAAGAACTGGTGCAAGTAGTGCTGTCTTCTAATGGCATGGATCTCAATACGAAGAAGACATTCCTTGCTGTGACTAAAAGCTTTTATTATGCAGTTCATACTGATCCAGACACTGTCATGTCTCATATACAAAAAGTTCTCTTTGAGAGGGTTATGTAATATTACTTTCTCAAGAGAAACGTACAATATTAAGGAAAAATCATAAAAAAAACTGCCCAAATAGAAAAATTGCAAATAGAGACTTATGACAGCATTAATATGGGTTTTGACAACAATTTTTGTGAATGGATCTCTATATGCAATTTTTCAATTTTCAGGGTCTTTTTTTTAATTTTCCCCAATATCAATCCCTCTATATGTGTGTGTGTATGACTTGTAATTTTAGGAACGTCTTCTAAAAAATAAATCAGCAGAAGTTTGAATAGAGTAGTTCCTCCGGAGTTATGTATCATATTAGAAGAGTTTGAATATACAGACAAAGGTGAGAATATGGGTCGTCCTGACCTTACAGGGCTGGCCGTGTAGGGCTGACGAGCTTAAAAAGACTAGTCTTGTAGGGCCAAAATTTCAAAATTTTCCCAATTTGTTAGACCCGACCTTTAAGTTGACAGGCTCAGGGCTGGCTCGCAAACTTTTGGTCTGTTTAAGAAAAAATACTATTTTTCATATTTATCACATTTTTTATAAAAAAATAAAATAAACCAATAAAATTATTAATAAAAGATATAAATATGAGTAAAACTAAATCACAAATACAAAATATCATTATATATAAATATCCATCAACATTCAAGAACATCTAAAACATTCATTAACAAGATAACAACATCTAAAAGTTTCATCTATAATGTAAATGTGCAATAAACAAATACTATCATTAATCTTTTGAAGCTTCATCATCACTGTAATCAAATACTCTTTTTCATAAGCATACTTTTCTTTCGTAACAAAAATATCAAGTTTTTTTTTATAGAAATTTCACTTTTAAATTTTACAGTCTAGCTATTATTTTCCTTTAATTTGAAAAATATTATTGTTGAAACTCATAAACTTCTAATTCAAATTATAGAATCACAAGTTATATAAGTATAAAAATATTCTCTTATCAAATATATATAGTTTAAAAATATCAACACATATAATATAAATCAAATCATTATTAAAGTCCAAATTAACCCATTTTTTAAAAACTTAATTGGATAAATGATTGTCTAAAACTAAATAAATCAAACCATTATGTGAAATTTAATTTTAAAATGATAATAATAACTAAATATTTAATTTTATTGTATATATACATGCAAATTTGAAGATGAGTTGTCTCTATACTAAGAATTCTATCTGTATTAAATAAATAATACTAATTCTGGTCTTAAATATAAGATTTAATAAATAGATGTTATATTTAGGATCAGAGGTAATATCTTAAATATTTTTATTTTTTTAATATTTAAAATTACTAAATATGTGAAAATATAAATAAAATAAAAAGTATTGTTGCAAGGACACCAAAACAAAATGTGTGGAAAAGTATTATAAGAATAAAAAAGTTACATTGAAATCAGGAAGGGTCGCATTGTTCATACATTATAAATAACGTAATGCATATGTATATGATATATTGATAATGACGAGGATACTCATTCGTCCTTTTTCTTTCTAATGAATGGATTCTCATGTGAGTATGACAAAATGACAAAATAAATAGGACTAATAAGATTTTTAGACATAGCACGGATATGTAAGGGATAAGACCCACGTAAGTGAGATATTGAAAAAACATAAAAATTATAACATTCACAAGTCATTTAATAATATAACTTATTATTTTAAATCCTATATAAGAACAACCTTTTTTTGAAAAAAGATAACAATCTTTACAATAAAAAATAAAAAAATACATTATGACTTATAAATATAATAAGAAGTCTTCTCTTATTCTTATAAATAATACTCTTTTAATTTTAAATATAAAATCTATTTTATATTATAAAATAGATTTTATATTTAAAATTTAAGACTGAAGGAGGAAGAATAGTAGTAGTAGTGACTAGTGAGGTCACATTTTAATAGTAGTAGGAGCAGACATGGACTAGTAGTAAGTGATTATTCCGCCGGACATGGCACAATTGAATGTCAAACATCAAAGGCTATACGACTTTTAATAGTCAACAAATTTATTGTCTTCCCAGTTACTTGCGAGTTATGACAATGACAGTTTATCAAAACCATATTTCTCTTTTCCATGTTTGATATAGTTTTTCATAAATTAGAGATCAAGCAATATTTACTTCTCTTTTATTTCATTTAAATTACGTATTTCATCAATAATCTAATAACTAAGTTCAAAATAAAAATAATAAATAAGGAGGATTGCAAAGAGAATCCAAATTTCATCAGAAGGCATGTATGGGAGAAAAATTTACTTGTTTGATTTTTCTTTGGGCTAAAAGATTCAAATTTGGTTGGTTGATCAATAATTGAAAATTATGCAATTTTTGACTGAGTGTTCGATTTAGTTGCAGAATATTCAGAATAGAGCCAAAAGAAGTTAATGCGATTAGGAAATGTCCCTTCTTTTCTACACAAAGAAAAATAATTTCTATAGAAAATGCCAATAGTAATGAAATACGAACAGTTTGAACAAATGAGCACTTTGAAGTTTGAATTGAACAGACAACAAAAGTGAGAAATTAAAGTTGAAAGAAACAAAAGGCATTCAATCAAGGCAGTATGATGATTTTCCACTCCATGACGGGTGCTGCTGAAAAACACCAGATATACTAAAAATTACTAATATAAAATATTTTAAGATATCAAATATTATTAAAAAAATAATTTAAGATGTTGACTGACCTAATTAAAAATTAAACATACTGAAAAATATTTGAAGATAGTAGATGTAACTTGATCATTTTTTCCACACATTCTCTATCAATCTCTTTTTCCTTTTCTTTACTTGTACTCTCTCACTCCTTCTCTTCATACATAAGAATATACTTAAAAAAAACTAAACACTACCCTCATTTTTAATATAAAAAATAGTTGAGAGATAAATTTAATCTTAAATATAAGATTTCAATTCATACTTTTTTATACTTATTATTAATAATAATAATATTATTATTATTTTAAAACTATCCCTTTGCATCAACCATAGTTTTAATGCAAATATATAATTTAAGAGGATATTTTAAGAAAACCAACACATATTTTTTATAAATAAATAATTTAATTAGTTTTTTAATCTAGTATATTTTTTTGACAAATATATTGCATATAATCAATTTTAATCAATTTTTTAATCTATAATTAATTATAATGCTTGCAAAGTTGCACTATCTATAAAATCGGTGGGGGTTGGTTTTGGACTTAAGAAAACATCTTAGTCAATTAATCATAGCACTGGCACCCACCACTTTGCTGGGTTGCTACTAGCGTCCCCCCCCCCCCTCTATGTCTTTTCTTAATTTGGTCCTCTCTAGTAATTAATGCTAGAGGGAATCTAATCTCTCTCTCCCCCCCCCCCCAAATCTGTATATATGTGTAGTATAAAAAAAAATCAGAATATTTTTAGGTGATGAATTATACAATTTATTTCAAAATGTGGGTGACATATGGATCTATAAAAAAATATATTTTTATTTATTATGAAATCAATGTTAGCTAATAATACAGTTTTATCTCTAAAAAAATCACAATATTTATAATATTCTGCTAAGAGAAGAATGAAGAATAGTTGAAATTGTAGAACATGCATACAAATGCTGTGAGCAGTTGCCGTTTTGGACCCAGCTCAAGTCACAATGGCAAGATTCAAAACCTTTCGCTGGAAAAATAATTATAATAATAATAATTTTTATGACTCTGTAGGGTCACAAATTCCAACTCAGTGAGCCATGTCAACGTCAATGGTGGAAAATTGTGCTTAAAAATATTTTTAAGGAAGAAATATGGCCAAGACAGAATCTTCATATCTCCAAATTCTAGAATATAATTTTCAACTGAGCGATTTTTCTAAATCTAAGGTAAGATTCTGTTATGTGGAAAACCAATTCATCTAATTTTTTTTAAAAAAAAGATAAATGAAAAAAATGTAAGCTACCTTTTTTGTAATAACTTTTACAGAGATCAAAATGCTAGAAGTATGATGAGGAAAAAAATAATATGAAAGATAAGAGGGGATAGAATATTATATCTAAGATTAAACTAAAACTCTCACAAATAAATCAAGATCAAAGGGAGGAAATTATAGAAAAATTATTTATAGATCTTAAATAAGAAAATTAAATAAATATAAGTTCTAACAATAAAAACACATACTTACTAGCCAAATTTAACTATTTATTTCACAAATCAAATTTTGATATTTATAAATTGAGTTGTATTATTTACAAGTGAAATTCAATTTGTAAAGCTCGTGAAAAATTAAATTTCCTGGAGCCTCTTGTATGAAATTGTTTTACCTAGGATTTATATTACAATTCCAACATCATTATTTCGGTTGTGAAAATGTACAAATATTGGCGTAAAGTTAAGGTAAGACCAAACTATTTTAACAATAATTCTTTTATCTTTATATGATGGTAAAAACTCTTTATATTTTTCAAGAAAGGCGTGCTAGTGCTAATACCAATGGTAAGTATTGGTTTTTTTTTTTTTTGGAAAAAAAGTATTTTGGAAAAGAAATGTGAGAGAAGACTTTCGTGGTGCCAACCAAAAAGTGCGCTTGAAGAAGTTAACAAAAGTGCCGTTTAAGTGGTGCGATATAAAGGAGTAAAATGTAGCACCAATATTGAGTTTCTTATTTATTAATTATTTTCCTTGACTCGTTATAAAATCAGACTTCACTCATGTTCTTTCCTCCACCACACACCCCATCATGGAGATTCAGATCACATACTCTATCCTCTTCACCTTCCTTTGCTTCCTCTTCATGATTCACAGACTTTCTTCAAGTTCTAAGAAATCCCTCAAAACCCTTCCCCCAGGACCATGGAAGCTACCTCTCATAGGAAACCTTCATCAGATTGGATCACTACCCCATCGATCTCTCAGAGACCTTGCAAACAAGTATGGACCTTTAATGCACCTTCAGCTCGGACAGATGCCCCATGTCATAGTCTCTTCACCAGAAATAGCTAAAGAGGTTATGAAAACCCATGACGTAATCTTCTCCAATAGACCCAAAATTGTTGCCAGCGAAACCTTGGCTTATAACAGTACAGACATAGCCTTCTCTCCTTATGGAAACTATTGGAGGCAACTTCGAAAGATTTGTACTTTGGAGCTTTTGTCCGCAAAGAGGGTTCGGGAATTTAGAAGGATAAGGGAAGAGGAGGTTTCTGGGCTTGTGAAGCATATTTCTGAACATGAAGTTGGTTCTCTCATGAATCTTACCAAGAAAATCTACCCACTCACGAATTCCATAGTTGCTCGAGCAGCCTTTGGTCGGAAGACTAGAAATGTGGAAGAGATTCTGTCGACTATGGCGTATGTGGTGCAACTTGCCAGTGGCTTATCTATATCTGATCTCTTTCCTTCACTTGAATTCCTTCGTGTGATTGGTGGGACGAAAGCTAAAGCTGAAAAAGTGCGAAAAGACGTTGATGGGGCGCTTAACAATATCATCATTGATCACTTGGAAAAGAACGATGGACATATGGAAGAAGTAGAGGAAGATCTTGTTGATGTTCTTCTCAAGATTCAGAAAGAGAATGACTTAGAAATCCCATTAACTCTCGACAATATCAAAGCCGTCGTCCTGGTTAGTCTTCGTTTAATTTAAAATATTCATTTCTCAGCTATCAAACTAATAATATGTTTCTATTCATCAGAGAAACTTAGTCATTTTATTAATTTTCTTTAGGACTTGTTTATTGGTGGAACCGATTCAGCAGCAACGACAGTAGTGTGGGCAATGTCTGAGATGATCAGAGCCCCAAAAGTAATGAAGAAGGCACAAGAAGAAGTAAGAAGCGTGTATCGAAACAAAGGATGTGTTGATGAGTCAGAACTTCATCAATTAGAATATGTAACTGCGGTTATTCGAGAAACTTTAAGGTTACATCCACCTGCTGCTTTGTTAGTTCCAAGAGAAAACAGTGAAATATGTGAAATTAATGGCTATGTGATACCTCTTAAGACTAAGGTGATCATCAACGCTTGGGCCATTGGAAGGCATCCTCAGTATTGGAATGAACCAGAGAAGTTTCAACCAGAAAGGTTCATTAATAGCTCAGTTGATTATAAAGGCACCAACTTTGAGTTTATTCCATTTGGTGCTGGAAGGAGGATATGCCCTGGAATCTCATTTGCTACACCAGTTCTAGAACTGATTCTTGCAAATCTGCTTTATCATTTTGACTGGAAGCTTCCTAATGGGGAAAAGAATGAAGAGTTGGATATGACTGAGACCTTTGGTGCTGCAGTGAGAAGAAAAAATGACCTGCTTTTAGTTCCCATTCCATATTGCACTTAGCTCTATGACTTCCTATAAGTGAACGAGAGAAATGATTTAATGAGCACTTGATCTATCTAATTACACTTATGTGTAATAAAGAGGTTATATATATGGTTTCTTTAATTTGCAGCTATTTTCTGAAATAAGGATGGACAAATATGGAAGGATCCATCTTAAAGGATAGTGTATCCAGTGCGTTTTACTGTTACGTTTTGTTGGATAAAGTGTTAAGTTACTATATCTATTTCTACAAGGCTTTTATCTTACATCTTTTAATGATTTTTTTTTCATTTAATATTAAACCGTTACACTATTTTCATACTTTGCTCACGTAATAAAGTTGCATTTGTTGAAATAATCAGAAAGTGGACACTATTTTATGAACAAAAAGAATGAACAAAATCATACAAAAGGAGGCAGACACAGATTCATTAGTATAGATGTTTCCGATATAAGAATGATCAGTAACTCTAAATATTGGTCAATCTTACTATTTCACGCACATTACAGCATTATTGAATATTTTCCCAACCAAAAAAAAAAAATCAAATTTACAATCATAATTTAAATTAAAGTCTATTTGGCTATGAATCATGCATATGACATCTGCACACTTTTATGTACTTCTGAAGGTGTGCTGTCTCTGAATAAGGGTATTCAATTAAATTTTTCCAACCAAAAATTCTCGTTTGAATATATCGGGAAAAAAATGAAAGAAAAAAGGTGGATGAAAAGTTTTATTGTTCACAAAGAAAAAAACAATTAACGTATCATATAAAAATAAAAAAAATTATATACTATTTATTTGTTGGTTAACCATATATTAATGTGAAAACTGAAAACATACACCCTCATTCACATTAAAAAGAAAATTATTTAGTATAGTTTGGATACTCATCAGTGCGCAATATTGACTGTACATGAAAGTGAAGGAAATTTCAAGGATTGTTTATGTTGACTTTGGGTCAACCAAGTCGGCGATGCAACAGTCGAAGAGATTTGGTCCGCAACAGTGACATGAATGGCCTTTCACATATTTTTAGATTTTAATTTTTTCTTCATGTATTTTTCTTAATAGGGATTTGAATATTATTTCTGTTCAAAAAATATTAAACATTAAATATGAATACTTTTTTCATGAAAATTTAAACTTTAGTTCCGCACGACGTGGAGAGCAGCCCTTCCTTATTAGTATCATGGAAGGTTTTTATTTTATGCAGGACATGCTAGCGGATAACATGCTCAGCCCATATTTCATGGGCCACATTATTCTTAAGCCCATATCTATTGGGCCATAAGTCTAAGCCCATTATACAATTCCACGTGATGATCTAAATAAATACTGTCGGGCAATAATTACAGTTGGGCGTTCTTTCTTGAGAAAATTACAACAAAGTCCCCCTTAAAAGAATTAAATACAAAAAAGTCTCTTAAAATTATTAAATTATTTTGAAGTTTCAAAAGATCTCATTGCAAGAGATTTTATTTGTTTAATTACAAAATTATCCTGATTTTTTTTAAAAAAAATATATATGGACAACTGAAAGAGCAGTCATTAATAACTTAAGGTGTAACGATAAACAATTATCGCGACAAGTATTAACAACATATTTTCTCAGCATACCACAAAAAATATAATACATAAGTTGTTAATATTTGCCACAATAGTTTTACTCGATTGTACTTGTAGTCATCAATGCATACTTTTTTTAACAAAAAAAGATAAGGACAATTTGATAATTAAACAAATAAAATTTATTGCAATAAAGTCTATTGAAATTTCATATTGATTTGATACTTTAAGGACCTCTTTGTATTTAATTTTTTTAAGTGGAACCTTATTGTAATTTTTTCTTCCTTTTCTTTTCTTGGCCTTTTTTTTTTTTTTTGCCAACCCGTTGTGTGTTCTTTCCAATGAAGAAAGCCGGATCGGCCGATTCAACCGGAAAACTGGTAAACCGGTCTCAGTCTAGTCTAGTTTGAAGAATAAACCGGCTTCAAATCGAACTGAAAAGAACTCAACTAAACTAGAAAAAACCGATGGGTTGGATGGGTCACCGGTTTTCTTTTTCTTTTTTTTCCCCCTCCTTTCTTCTTTTTTACTCTTATCATCTCACCGAGAAAACATTAACACAGTTGAGAGAAGTGGTAGAAGAAGAAATCATAGAAAGAAATACTCATTTGGAAGTCTCTTGTGCACGCTTCGAACCCATGGTCATGGAAGAATGGAAGGCAAGGAGGAAGATGAGTAATAGAGGAGAAGGGATGCGTAGAGAGAAAAAGAGATCGTTGTTATCATTTTTGCTTGAGAAAGAAAGAGAAATGCAAAGGCTTGTTTGAGAAAGAGAGAGAAATAAAGAGGGAGGACCGAATTTCAAAATTTGAGTGAGAAAAAGAACTATGCATAAGTAATTTGCCATTCAATGAGGAGAGAGAAAAAAAGTGGCCTTGTGTGCAATGACATTCACGTGAGGGAGAGAGAGAAGGAAGAGATAAAAATATAAAATAATAAGAAAAAAATTGCATTGGGTCGTGTGAAGAAAAAAAAAAAGAAAAAAATTATATACATAAATATTTTGTAATCAAATTATATTATTTTAAGTATTATCGGTCTAATCCGGTTTAACTCTGATCTAACCCATTAACTCTTAGCTTATTATCTCAACTGATTTAGTACCCGGTTCGGTTTTTTGTTCCTTAGTTCTTTCTGCCCACTTGCTTTTGCAAAAATATCCTTAATTAATGATAATGGCACGTATGGTTGTTGGAAGTGAAAGAAATAGAATGAAATGGATTAATATGATAAAGATCATGGACGAAAATATAGATAATTTTACAAAATTCATACCTTTTTTTATAATTTTTTTTGGAATCCTTTTTCGATAATTATACATCCATAAGTAATTTGAATAATAAAATCCAAATATAATTAAAACTCTTAAAGTCACTTATTAAAAAGTTTCAAGTAGAAGTCATGATTATCCAATATCACTTTTAATTAGCATCCTCTAAAAGCAGTCATGTGGGGTTTCTTATTTTAATTCAATTGCAATTAAATCTCAAAACACCAAATTTAATTATTGTTAGGTCCTAGCACAATCTCCACTTACAAATCATAAAAGCAACTGACATATTATGCTTCACAAGGCTGTGAATAGGAAAATATTACAGGAGCAGTGTACCTGTCATGATGGTTTTCTTTTTGCCGCAAAATTCTGAAGTCATGCGTTTACTTCAAAGATTTCGTGATTATGTAAAGTAATTGCCCACCGTTAAAATTTAAATGATTTCTTGTCTAACATTGGAATTTTGTTTCTTTTCTTTTAGTTTATCTCTTGATCACTTTGACTCAAAGGAGATTTTTTCCCCCCCATACAAATCAAAGGGAGATGAATCATATGATTAATTGATTAGGTAAGAAACTGATAATCAACTTTGGAGTTTGATCTTCTTCTTTGGGATGGGACCAATTTGGACTTATATATTTTTATAAAATTCGTATACTAATAAATTAACTGAAAACTTGCTTATAAAAAAAAAATGAAAACTTAATATGTAGCCATTATGAAATATAAATAGTTATAGTATCATATTGACGCGCGAATATTTAGCTTTTTCACCCCCTATATTACACCTAAAATATATTATTTTTCTACAATAAATAAAAAAATTCAGAACTATTATCTTAAATTCAAATATAAATTCTTGATGTTATTTAAGGGGGATAAATATTTTTCACTTTAATTTATTATTATTGGCAAGGTATTCTTTAATCATGAAAAAGAAAAAGTAAATTCCGTGCCGTCACCGAAATCATTCTTTTGCACAATTAAAAATGGATTAAAGTGCATCTAGTACCTTTAAATATTTTTTTGGATGCTGAAGTGCATATAACATCATGAAATATTTTTTAACCTTTGTTTAAGGATTCAAAAGTTTTCCATTTTTTAAACAAAGTTCTTGTTTGTAATTGTTATATTTTGATGGCAAAAAAAAAATGTTATGCTTTAGAAATTCGTCCAAAAACTGTTACGTTTTAAAAAATTATTTAGTTTTTTTTCAATAAAAAACTCATTTAGTTACTATTGAACCATTGAGACGCTGATAATTTAAAATTAATTGATTTGATTGTGGTTGAGTCATTTAAAATTAAATCATGGCATGAATAATGTTAAGGATTCGAAATTCCTAAATGCCGCGGGTATAATTCCACAAGGCATGCGCCACTGACACTTTCACGAGTCCACTAAACTAAACCCACCTAACTGATTCCACGCCCCACTCACAATCCACAAACTGTCCACATTCCAACAATGGAGTGCGTCTCAATGACTTTTTGTGCCCAAATTCATCTCTCACAAATCACATCGCATTGTATGACTTAAGGTCATCTCAGAACAATAATATTGCCCATATTTTAATTGCTTATAACCATTGGTCAAGGTCAAATTGTCAAACCTACCTTTTTCGTTGAATTTTAAAATGGTAAATATGTAATTTAGCATGCATAAACCCTTACAAAAATGATAAGTATCACCTATTTATTATTTTAAAATTCAACATGTATTTTATGATCATTTTTGCTTTTTTTTTTAGAGAATTACTACATCGTCCCCCACTGAAGAAATAATGTATTCATTAAAAAAATTACGTAACAAGTGAACAGTTTGAAATGATAAGTTTTAGTATAATAAATGATAATAGGTTCTAACTGGTCACTTGTTGATAATTATATTCCTTCTTTAGTATTTTCTCTGGTCCTATTTATAAGTTTTAAATTTAGAAAAGAATATGATCCATTTTGTAAGTTTCAATTTGACTTTATTTGTTGCTCTTAATTATTTATTTTCTCTCATTTTCCGACATATTCTCTTTCATCTTTTTTCATATTTATTGATAAAGATATATTTAGAAATAAAAATATATTTATAACGTATTCATTATTTTTAACTAATTTTAACTAATAATTTATTATTTGTGAACTAGTTATTTGAAGTTTATATTAAGGGCAAAAATCAGTACCTTTCAGTAATTCTTTTTTTTTTTTATCATATCCCATCCATATATTATGCCCTTTAAGTTCAAACTCATAAACATGTAATGTACATATAAAATAAGTATTTAGCTAAAAAAGACATTTATTAAGGGTCTTGTAACTTATGACACTCTACTCATAACGAACGAAGTTGTGAAATCAAACCCCTGATTAATATAAAAGGCGGGCTTAATTATAGTCTCCTTTCTTTGTAACAGCTAAGGTTAGGGACCGGAAAAAAAACGGAATATTTATTTATTGAATTTATTTTTGGGACCAACAGACCCTTGTTAAGGAGAATTACAAAGAGATCTAAGTAAGAAAAATAAGTCCTAGAAATTATTATTCTCACTGACTTGTTAAACTATTAAAATTATTATTAAGATCTTTTAATAATTATTTTTTTTTACGAGACTTAATTGTAATTTTCCTTTCAATTTACGTTACTCTCTTTTTAGGTCAATGAAGTAGTCAACTTAGGCGGCTTCGCGTTGCTAGTGGATTTGACTGATTTGACTTGCGAACTTGAGCCTGATTTAGTGATTTAGCCGCACCACTCGCGTCTTATTTATTTCATCCCCATTTTTTAAAATAACTTTATATAATTAAATTCATGCTTCACAAACATTTCATCGCTGTTTGAAATAATTTATAAATAATTTTTTAATTATAACTTATGAAATGTAAAATAAATATATAAATAAATTTATCTCAACTTACATAAAATATGTTTATAATTACTTATAAATATGATTCTAAAACAATGTCTAAAAAAACTAGCTGTTAACTTATTTAATCTCCATTTTAAGTTGGCTTATTGTTCAAATTTATTAATGCTTTATGAAACATAATTTCTTTATTTTTATTTTACTCCTTAAATCATGTACATCAATATTTTTTAATAATACACAAATTAGTCTAATAATATTTTTATAAAATAATGTCACTTCAATTGATAATAGTATCATACTACAAACCCCCTCTTCTATATATACCACTTATGCGCGTGTAAGAGGGCGGCAGAAACGGTGCGTGCTTGCCGTCATGTTTCCTGGAACAACCAGCTTGCCTCTCTCTGCTCCTCGCTTACTCAATCCAGGTTCTCTCTCTCTCTCTCTCCACCCCCCCCCGGGTGCAGATGATTGAATTTGTTTGTTAAGTTAATTTGTTACCCAACAATACACTAATAGATTCATGATTAACAAACTTATACGCGAACACACACACACACGCTGGAGATCAAATTTGGAGTTGTGTTGCTGAATTGCTTATATCTTCATCTTCTTCTTAGCTCTTAGCTTTCTGAATCTGTCCTCCGATCTGTTATTTCTTCTGAAGCATCGATCGGAGGTGATAGATAGACAGACGTTACATGGTATGCCCCACGTAAAAAGTGATCCTAATTATAAAATCTCGTTTATAGTCTATAAAACATGCCTCACATAAAAAGAGTACCACTTTCGATCATAATTATAAGATTTCGTTTTAAATAAGGTTTTATACTTTTATAACTAAGACCGGAGGTAATAATTAGTAGTATTATATATGATGTATCTATTTTTTTATTTCATGAAGTCAACATCATTTCAAGACATTGTTTGTAAATCGTTTGAATTTTAAAAGAACAGAGAGAGTTTATTTTTAATAAATGTGATACACAGAGTTGAAAATAATAAGTTACGTTGTTAATGGACTGTAAATAAGTTAGTCTATTATATGTTTGCTATTAAAATTGGAACACAATTAGTTGTCTAGTACTCCTACCTACTCTTACATGTAAATCACTTGTAGGAGAAAAATTTATTTTCAAATATAATTCATTTGTAAAGTAATTAACAATATTTTTCTAATTTTACTCTTATTAAATGTAATAAAAAAATAGGTGAGAAAAATGTATGACATTTATTAATTTAATATATTTTTTAATATATAAAAATATGTATAAGTGACTTACAAGTTATATATATATATATATATATATATATGAATAGAGTGGTATACTATTTTCTTTTTTTGGTGAAACGCATTATTTTGTTAAAGATATCACGTCGCTTCTTTATTTAATTAAAACAACAGGACCACAAAAATCTTCTTACTTTCTTAGCATACAAAGGCGGCAAGCGTGGTCGTCTGTAGTCCGGACATTTACATTGAATGTGAGAAATCTTAAATACATAGAAATAACTTTCTTTTTATAATCGTTTTCTCGGTTAATATTATGCTTTCCGTTGTTATCGGGATGTTGACTGCTCTGTTTTTGCTAGTACCCACTTTTGATTAAATTAAATGAATTTTCTAGATGAGTATTACTCTATTCAATTCTAAATATAAAAACTAATTATAAATTTTATTTTGATCATAAATATAATATCCCAATTTTATTTGAACATTCATATTTTTTTTTTCCAAACTGTAACTATTTTTAAAACATCAACATATTTTTTTTATAAATAACTAATTTATATATATTTTAATACTAATTTCTATGTTTAGAAATGCAGAGAGTACATAATTACCGTTACCGAAACCTATCGTTTTGTCTTTATACTTTCAGTAACTCACGATGGATCCAATACAAAGGACAAATTTGAGGGCAAACCTAACATTAAGGTAACATATCATCCTTCCATTTCATGCATCTCTCTCTAGATTTCAGTCCAATATGCCAAATAATTCTTCTTAAAAATGATGATGATGATGATGATATGGTGAATTATATTAAATACAGATATCAGAGGGGAATAAAGAGAGAATAAAGAAGATGCTGGACAAGGTTGAACTTTCTGTATCAGGTTATGACACAGCTTGGGTAGCAATGATACCATCACCTTCTTCTCCGGAAACTCCTCTGTTTCCCCAGTCCCTAAACTGGTTACTGCAGAATCAACAAAACGATGGATCATGGGGTCTTCCTCATCGTAATGACTTGTTGACCAAAGACTCTCTTGTAACAACCTTGGCTTGTGTCCTGGCACTTAAACAATGGGGTGTTGGTGAACAACAAACTAACAGAGGTATTGTATGTAATATAATGATGATCTTTATCTCTGTTATAGAAGTGTCTTTGAACCAACCCAATATGTGTATGGCTAAGTAATGGGTATATGTATCATGGTGTGTTGTTGAAGGGTTTCAATATATTGAGTCAAACATTGCTTCAGCTTTGGATGATAAGCAAGATTCTCCTATTGGATTTGATATTATCTTCCCTCATTTACTTGAGCAAGCCCAGAACTTAAATCTCAATCTTCCTCTTGGAGGAAAGCGTTTAGAGACATTCATCCAAAAGAGAGAATTGGAGATCCAAAGGTACCATTCATAAACAATAATATATGCTTCCTTAGCATCTTTTAACTCCGGCATTTTGGAGAGAATTTTAAATGCATGATTCAGATATAGATAGCATTCTCATAACTTCATAACATAGAAACTATTCACAAGGCATGCAGATTCAAATGTGTGTTTTTTTCATTCAATCTATCATATTGAGGAATCTGAAAGAACAATCATAGTTAAGCTCTTTTGTGCATTGTTGTTGCAGTGGGTGGGGAAGCAAGTCAGAAGGATGGAAAGCATATATGGCATACATTTCAGAAGGATTTGGGAAGTCACAGAACTGGGAAATGGCTATGAAGTTTCAAAGAAAGAATGGCTCTTTATTTAACTCCCCGGCCACCACTGCATCGGCATATACCCATATTAACAATCCACATTGTCTTGATTATCTATTTTCACTATTAGATAAATTTGGAAATGCTGGTAATTAATTCCTCCTTTCAGTCTTTGATGGATTTTTCTTCTTCTACATGACAATTATTATGGTTTCATACTAATATTATATTATATTCAGTTCCAACTATACATCCCTTTGATGTCTATGCTCGACTCCATATGGTTGATAGTCTTGAAAAGTTGGGTATTAATCGTCATTTCAAGGAGGAAATTGGAAGTATACTAGAGGAAACATGGAGGTAATTAACTTTACTTTGTGTCTCAGAAGCTTGAAATTGAAAATAACTTTCTTATTGTGGGAACAAAGACGGCCACAAAACTTGATCTTATGTTCTATTTGATTATGAAACAGAATGTGGCAACAGGAAGAAGATGACATATTTTCAGAGCCCACCACTTGTGCCATGGCATTTCGTTTGCTATGTTTGCATGGATATAATGTTTCTTCAGGTTCTGCATCTTGTTTAAGTCAATATAACTGAAAAGGGGTCAAAGAAAAATAACTAAATTTGATAATTTTGTGTTTACTTCAGACGCATTGGATAGATTTTCAGAAGACAAATTCCTCAATACCCTTCAAGGTTATTTGAAGGATGTTGAGTCTGTTTTAGAGTTACACAAGGCTTCACAGATAGTTTCACATTCCAATGATTCAGTTCTAGAGGAACTAAATTCGTGGACAGGACACTTTCTCATAGAATATTTGTCCACTTCCTCAGGAAATTCTCACAAACCTTCTAATCATTTTGATCACGAGGTACATTAATCTCACAAATTCAATTTTGTTTCTCAACTCTTCTGTACTCTCAAGTTTATTCACAATTTAATGCATATGAAATCCTCAAAGATCTCGAATTTTAGGTATCTTTTGCTCTGCGTTTTCCTCATCATGCTTACTTGGATTTCATATTAAATCGAAGATCTATAGAACACTACAAGGAGGGGGATCAAAGGAGAACTTTGAAATCTTCATATAGGTACATCAAAATATCACAAACTACTCCATTTTTTCTCTGTCCCACATACATGTGAGCTTCTCTGAGTCATGCATAGATTACTCACTTGGTACTTTACTCTCTTCTTGATCAGTTCTTTGAACCTTGCAAATAAAGAATTCCTGTTATTAGGAGTGGAAGACTTCAATCACTGCCAATTGGCATTTCGTGAAGAACTCGATCTATTTAACAGGTTAACATATTTCTTCTATGATAGCCTCAAGCTGATTATATAATCTTATCACTAATAAAGCATATCATAATTAATGATCATCAGGTGGTTTATGGAGAGTGGATTGGAAAAACTGCATTTTCCAATCTCAAAGACAAAAGCTGCTTATTCCTTCTTGACAGTTGCAGCAACACTGACATCTCCTGAACTTCGCGAAGCTCGTCTAACATGGGCCATGCAGGGCTTGCTCACATGTGTCGTTGATGATTTCTATGATGTTTGGAGTACTGAAGAGGAACAAATCAACCTCATACAGTTAATGGAGAAGTACGTATGTACGATTTGTAATGAAGCTGCCATAAATATATATACTTCTTTTGCTGCATTAATATATGCATAAGATGACAATATTTCCTCTGAACATTGAACCAAAGGTGGGACGTAGATGTGGACAAACAAAGTTGTTCTGAGACAGTGAAGATATTATTCTTAGCACTCAAGAGTACAATCTGTGAGAGTGCAAGACAAGCATTTAAGGTTCAAGGGCGTGATGTGCTAAACCACTTGATTCAGATTGTAAGTTATTAATGATATATATAATTATTTCAACCTCATCTCATCAGTGTTTTTAAGATTATCTCTAAATATTTTTCTTCACTGGGGCACAGTGGGTGGATTTGATGAGGTCTCAGTTAAAGGAAGCGGAATGGTTTGGAAGCAAGCATGTGCCGAGCATCAAGGAATATGAACGTAATGGAATCACATCAATGGCCTTAGGACCGATTCTCTTCCCACTAATGTATCTTGTTGGACCCAAGCTACCCCAGAATGTCATTGAAAGTGATGAATCCAACTACCTGTTTGAGGTTGTGAGTCTCTATGGGCGATACCTCAATGATGTCAATGGCTACCAGGTGACTAGTCTGTGGCCTTTTCGATCCCTCCTCTTGTATGTTTTGTAAATTTTTCTGGGAATAATTAAGGTTTCTGTGTGTTTTGTGTAGAGAGAAAAAGAACAAGGGAAATTTTTAAACTCAATAAGCTTGAGGATGATTCATTTGTGTGGGTCAGCAACTGAAGAAGAGGTCATAGAAACAATGAAGAGGAAGATTGAGGAGAAGAGGAAGGAGCTGTTGAGAATAGTGTCGAAGGAAGAAGGAAGCATGCTTCCAAAAGAAGTAAAAGATGTGTATTGGAAAATGTGCAGATCGCTTCACTTAATTTATAAGAAGGAGGATGTGATCCATGCAAAAGAGATGCCCAATGAGGTCATTAACATCAGAGACATAGTTTTAAGTGATCCTATTATTCTGAATTCATAGATCACAAATGACCTCTCTTTCCTGTTTAGAGAAGAAAATAATACTGTATATTTTTGAATAAAGCTTGCTAATTCTGTTCACTTAGGGGGCTTCAATATTTTTCATTACGAAAAATGACAAATATTAGGGCTGTTTAGTTTATGGCTCATTTGCTATCCCCAAAATTGTGCTTTATCTGGGATAGAGTTGTTTCTTCTATATCCTAATACTGATGAAGACGATAAAAAGAGAATAATTTTAGCGAAAGCAAATTCAGAACTGAAAACAGAGGGGAACCTTTTTTTTTTTTTTTTTACTGATATGGTTATGATTGGGAAAACCGGCTGCCAGCCCAAAAAAGGGAAATTTGGGCCAAGACAGTAATGGGCTCCACCTTAGTGTTGGGCCTAACCAATAACGTACCTTGCCTCAAATTTTATATTTATATTAATTGATTATCTTATGATGAGACGTGTGATATACGAAAGCATTATGGTTTTACCATCAAAACTCAAGTAAAATTTGCGTGGGGTCTAAAATGGGCAGCACCTTGTACCTTTTGCTATTTTGTATTTTATTATGTTGATATGGATCACATTTCTTTTTCAAAAATTTAAATTGGGCCTGATAAAATCTCTCTGATTAAAACAACAGAAGAACTCAGAAATTTGATTCTAAGAATAAAAGAGCGTGACGCTAATCTTTCACCTTTTAACGTCGAACTTTGGTTGAACAAACGAATTAATGTAGGACATATTATTATTATCATCATCATCTATCGGCTTGGAAGAAGTTTGATACCAGTATCAGTGATGGCACCGAAACAGATTGGTGTTACAACAATTTATAATTGAACTGTGATCATTTAAACTTTGTTGTGCTTTTCTATATTAGAATTTGTTATTACAAGCTGGTGAAAAAATTTAATGAAGATATATATTTTTAGGATCTTATAGTACTTTCCTTTATTCTTACATGAGTTAAGATGCTGTATTCGAATTCAGACCCAAAATGTGCATACTTTGTGCTGATTCTTTAGCTAATCAGATAATTGTTTAGGAGAAGGTAGAATTGTTTTTTACAATCTCCTCCCCCACTCAAGTATGTGAGAAAACTTTATGAGAAGTTTTTTTTTTTTTCAATTTGAATAATTTCTAGATATTCATAATTGACACAAAGTTGTCGTTGGTCAAATTTGTTTCAATTTTGTAGCATATGATATACTGCCTAGTCCAACGTTTCCTAATTTATTAAATATTAAATATAATTAGTAAATCACGTAAATGATTCTCGTGTCCAATCAGTTATGGGATATGCTGCCGAGTGTCGACATAAGAAGAGTATTTATTGGGGGAAAAAAAACATATATCGCCTTGCTAATTCAACGCCAAATTTATTAATATAATTAATGATTCTCGTGCATAGAAATAAACCATATGAAACATATTTTTTATTGCATCTATTTAATTTTCCCAATATCAACGGCAAATCCATTCATATTTGACACGCTAACAATTTATATCTTTGTTCCAAATAAGAGTCCGCGCACATACAAATTCCCCCATGTTAAACCCATGACAAATACTACGTCCGGTCTTATTTATAAGACTTTATTTGTATACTATAAATGAGGTCCTATAAATAGAACCGGAGGTAGTACTAAATAGGTCTTAATCATTTCATTATTAACGATACATGAAAACATAGCATATAATTATCTCTTAAAACAATAAAACTAATGATTAAGGTGCATCTAACATCTTGAAATATTTTCTCGAATACATCTGGCACCTTAAAATATTTTGTGGTATGTTCAGCACTTTAAAGTATTTTTCTAGCTGTATCCAGCACCGTGAAATTTTTTTGATGCATTTAACACTTTAAAAGTATTTGTTTAGGTTCGTCCAACCCCCTAAAATACATTTTAGTGCATCCAATACTAAGGAAAAAGAAATAATTCAAGATATTGAGCGCACCTAGAAAATTTTAGAGTGTTGAATGCATCATTAAATATTTTATAGTGTTGAATGCACTCAAAAAAATATTTCGGGATGTTGAATGCACCATAACCTCAAAACTAAATATTTCTTTTTATAAATTAGGAACTCTAGTCACATAATTTGTCTTGATTATAATATTCCTCCAGTCCTAAATATAAGATCAATTTTATAGTATAAATTATATTACAAAATAAGTCAAATATTTAGGAACTAAGAGTATATGTAAAACGCTATGTGAAATGTTTGATAGCCGACCTTTTGAAGGTCAAAAAATTGGGAAAAAATATTGTTATATTTTGATCTTATAAAGACATATGACTGCCCTCGCATTTTCTCACCCAGTGAAGCCATGTAAAAATACAAATATTTAAAGATTGTTGGTTGAAATTGGTGAGATTAAATTATATTTTATACATCACCATTATCATTATTCGTTTGTTGAAAGTGTACATCTTATTTTTGTTTATACAAGCAACCCCTTAGATTGCAAAACCACATCACTTAGTCTTCTTCTCTATGCTACACAACATCCTACCATCTCCTTAGCCCAATCATGGAGACTCAAATCCCATACTCCATCTTCTTCTTCACTTTCCTTTTCCCCTTATGATACACAAACTGTCATCTTCAAAGAAATCCTAGAAAACTCCACCCCCAGGACCATGGAAATTACCTCTTATCGGAAACCTTCCTTAGATTGGTTCATTACCCCATCGATCTCTCAGAGACCTCGCAAACAAGTATGGACCTTTAATGCATCTCCAGCCGGGACAAGTTTCCTATTTCATAGTCCCTTCACCAAAAGTGGCCAAAGAGGTTATGAAAAGCCATGACATTATCTTCGCTAATAGACCCACATGTTTTGCCAGCGAAACCTTGGCTTATAACATCACAGATATCGCCTTCTCTCCTCATGGAAACTACTGGAGGCACCTTCGAAAGATTTGTACCTTGGAGCTTTTGTCTCTAAAAAGAGTCCAGACATTTAGAAGGATAAGAGAATAGGAGGTTTTGGCATTTGTGAAGCATATTTCTGAACACGAATTAGGTTCTATTGTGAATCTCACCTAAAAAATCTACCGACTCACAAATGCTGTAGTTGCCCGAGCAGCCTTTGGTCGGAAGACTAAAAACATAAAAGAGATTATTCCAGTTATAATGACAGTGTAGAGATTAGCGTGGATTATCAATCTTTAATCTCTGTCCTTCATTGGAATTCCTTCGTGTCATCAGTGGGGCGTGATAAGTAAATCATTATTATGTAACTAATATTATTGTATCTTAACAGATTTAGTTAGAATGCTTAGCTAGCTTAGTTGAGGCATGTGACCTCCGTACCTATATATGTAAACTCTCAGTACAGTGCAATAGACATCAAATCATTCACCCACTTTTTGTCTTATTCACTCTCTCTCTCTCTCTCTCTCCACTTTTCCTTCATGGCATCAGAGCCATTCGGTCAAACCACCATGACTTCTTCACCGAACAATACCCTCTCATCTCCTTCTGATTTCTCCACTAAGAAAAACGTAATCACCTTCTCGCATCTTGTCTCTGTGAAGCTCGATGAGAACAACTTTCTCATCTGGAAGCATCAGATTGTATCTGCAATTCGAGGCCATGACCTTCAGTCTTTCATTGACAAAATGGTAAAACCGCCGGCGAAGTATCTTCTAAATGACAAATATCTAGAAATCTTCAAAGTGAATCCAGAGTACTTTGCTTAGGAGCGGCAAGATCAGCTGCTCGCCTCCTGGATATCTTGCTTAATGTCGAACGCGATGCTTACCAGAGCTGTTGGTTGCACGACGTCTTTTCAGATTTGGGAGAAGATTCAACAACACTTTGCTTCTCAAACTAGAGCAAAGATCCGTTAACTAAAGTCTCAACTCAAAACCATCGAGAAAGGAAGTTTATCTGGAAATGACTACCTGTTGAAGATTAAGAGTATCACTGATGCATTGACAGGTATTGGTCATCCGATCAGTGATTCTGATCATATCGAGGTTATTTTTGAAAGTCTCTTTAATGAGTATGATGCGTGGATTACTACCATCACCACTCGATCAGATCCTTATTCTGTTGATGAAGTTGAATCGCTTCTTATTGCTCAAGAAGCTTGTATTGAGAAAAATTCCAAGACACCGATTGTTGAGTCTGCTAATCTTGCTCATAGCAAGCCTCCTTACAGAGGAGGTGGTCATACATGAGTTAGAAGAGGTAATCATGGACGTGGTCGCTCATCATAGTACAGTGGATCATCTTCTAATGCTCAATCCAGTAATCATTCTCTTGCTTAGTGTCAGATCTATTAGAAGAAAGGCCATAAGGCTCGTGAATGCTGGTATAGGTTTGATGAAACCTTTGATGAGCTATCGATCAATGACAAGAGGTAGCACAAGAAAGATCAATCAGTGTTAATGGCCACTACTGAGTGCATCGCTGATCCTGATTGGTACCTGGATTCTGGAGCAACAAGCCATGTCACTCATAATGATCATAACATCAAGGACAAGTCTAGTGGTAAGTCTGTTGATAGAATTTTGGTGCTGATGGTAAAGGTTTGATAGTTCATTGCACTAGTTCTTCTGATTTTATTCTTCCTCGATCTCAATACACTCTCAAATTAAAAGATATCCTCCATGTTCCTGAAGTCTCTAAAAATCTTCTCAGTATTCCTAAACTCTGTCTTGACAATGATATTCTAATTGCCTTCTTTTCCAATGTTTGTGTGATTAAGGATTTGCAAACTAATCAACTTCTCTACAAAGGAATTCTTAAACGGCACAGGTCAGCTCTTCACAGTGTGTCATTTCAACCGTATCAGTCTAAGTCCTCACTCTAGTGTTCTCCACAATCTGCTTATGTTTCAATTGATTCTGATTGTATTTCCTCTATTTTCTCAAATTTTTGCCTCTGGCATAATAGGTTAGGGCATCCTACCTCTCTAATTGTCACTCAAGTCATGAAAACTTGTAATCTTCCTTTTAATAATAAGAATAAAGTGTTTGATTTTTTGCAATGCTTGTTGTCTTGGCAAATCTCACAAACTTTCTTATTCTTTGTCCACTTCTCAATATACTTTTCCT